CGAACAGCGGCGAGGACCGGGGCCGGAAGAGGAACTGTCTCTTATACACATCTAGATGTGTATAAGAGACAGCACACACACACACACACACACACACACACACACACACCAGCAATCAGAAAAAAATGAAAAAAAAAAAAGTTCCCTTTTTTTTATCGTGTTTCTTTTGTTTTTAATACTTGTTTTTTTCGTTTTCTATTTTTTTCTTAAATCCAAAAAAGCATCAAAATCCAAAAAAACAAATATGGGGATGTAGGGAATTTCCAACCCTACAACTCCATTTTTTATTTGATTTTTTTTTGCCTATTATTCTTTTTTTTTTAAATCACAGGATTTTCTGGCCGCGGTTGGCCCCCGCGGCTGCCCCGTGGGCATGACCATGAATGCATGCGGTAAAATGGCCCGCGGTCATGACCGCGGGTGATACGTAGGTTTCATATGTATGATGCTGGTTGGTTTCCAGGTTTCATATGTGTGATGCTTCTTGGTTTCTGGATTTCGCTAAAAGCCCATTTTCCTTGGATTTAAAAAGAAGTGTTGAAAAAAAAAGGTCTCTTTTCAAACCCCTTTTTTTTTTCTTTTTGCGCCTTCTTTTATTTTTATTCTTAATATGACAAATTCTCGGCTTCTTCTCACCGCCCGCAGCAGAGGCCGGCGGTCAGGTTCCTGACTGGTGGGCGATACCTGTTTGATGGCGCAGCGTTCGCACATAGCTCACGCATTGCAGCCGACATCGAAGAGCACGAGATGAAGAGGCTGAGGCGTCACTGCACAAATTTATAGCGCAGAAGGCGGCGGGGGACCAGCATGTGATGCGGCGGATCAGAGGGCAGTTGATGACAAGGGCAAAAGAAGGAGAAGTTCCAGTCGCTCAAGAAGGGCGGGGCAAACGAATATCTCGTCCGATCAAGGTGGTTGTCCTATTGGCGCATGCAAGTTCGCTCTTATGGCTTAATGCGACCAACTCGAGAGTCGTTGAATCAACTGCGCCACAAGACGAAGGGGGTAGGGGTGGAGGACGGTGTGGACTAAGACGAAGAGATGCGAATACTAGGCGAGGGATGCGCAAGAAGAGAAGTTGGCATGTGTGTGCAAAGCGAGAAGCCAGTTTGCCTAGTCTGGGGAACGCCGCTCGTGCGCATGCTCCGCACCCGAAATAAAAAACTACGACTATGGAAATTACAACCGTTTCTTTGAAGATTCCCGCAAGGATTCTAATCGGCCGCGTGGCAATAAACCGAGAAAGGACAAGCACATTCCCAAAAGATCCATGCAATTAAAGACCAAAAACAAAATTGAAACAGACCCCATCCATTCATGGTTGTTAAGGTCCATACTTCAGGGCTTACTTTGGGGTTTAATCCGGAGGCTACGTTAAGCCGCGAGGTATGGAGATTGGCTTATCACAGGATTGATGAAGGTTGCAATCGTGGTCCACTCCTTGCTGGATTTGTAATTTCCCAGCCCTCCCAGTCCATTGCTGTGATCCATCCCTGCTGCAACCCCCGAACCAGTCCATGCAGAACTCTGAAATTTCCTTCAATAAGTGCAATCATCTGGGTCCCTGGGAGGAAAGTGAGGTTTTACCTTTGTACCTAACCAACTAGATGTCATTGCCACTTGAACCTGTTGCTTTGTGTCAGTTAGCTCTCCCTGTGTATAAAACCGTACGCCGTACGGGGGTTTTATGGACGGGCCGTCCGAACGGCTGACTGGACAGCAGGACAGTCGTACGGAACGGCGCAGTCCAAACCCTGCACAGGCTAGGTGGGGGGTGATGGTCTGGGGGGTTGACGAATGGCCGGGACCCCCTCGGCAGTTTTTGAAACAAAAAAATGATTTTTTTTAAATTAGAAAAGCGAAAAAAAAAATTAAAAAAAATTGACTGATTGATTGGTCGATTGATTGATTGATTGGTTGATTAATTAACTGATAAACTGATTGATTGATTGACTGATTAATTGTTTGATTATTGACTGGTTGATTGATTGATTGGTTGATAAAATCAAATAAAAATAAGAAACAGAGTGCATCAGCACGAGGCTGTGTGAGGGAGCGCGCCCGCTTCCTCTGTCTCTCTCTCACTGTCCCAGCATGCACGCGAGCGAGAGAGAGAGAGAGAGAGAGAGAGAGAGAGAGAGAGAGAGAGAGAGAGAGAGAGAGAGAGAGAGAGGGTGTGTGTGTGTGTGTGTGTGTGTGTGTGTNGAGAGAGAGAGAGAGAGAGAGAGAGAGAGAGAGAGAGAGAGAGAGAGAGAGAGAGGGTGTGTGTGTGTGTGTGTGTGTGTGTGTTTGTGTGTGTGTGTTTGTGTGTGCGTGTTTGTGTGTGTGTGTGTGCGTGTGTGTGTGCATGGATGCACCCGTGTGTGTGTGTGTGCATGGATGCACCCGTGTGTGTGTGTGTGCATGGATGCACCCGTGTGTGTGTGTGCTAGTGTGTCTGCATCAATGCAATTGTTTAAATTCTCTTCATTTTGCAATCGATTTAGTCAATCAATCAGCCAACTAATCCCAACTAGTCTATCAATCAATCAATCAATCAATCAATCCAACCAATCAATCAGTCAAGCAATCATTCAATTCAATCAATCAGTGAATTGTGTTTATTTTTTCCCCGATTAAAAAAAAAAAAAAAAAAAGATCTTTCTTCTTTTTCAGTCTGGGGGAATGCCCCCAAGCACCCACAGAAAGGCCGCGAAAAGGGGCCGAAGTTAGAATGGCCCACACAAGTGTTGGAGGGACCGTTTGTATGGCCTTCCTAGCGGGGGACATAGAGCTCTCCCCCTACCAGCCTCACTCCATGACATAAATACAACATCACCACAAGAAGGCCCAAAGAACTGCCTTTGTCCCACGATTGAACATGTTAGCAGTACATAGTTCGGTGTTGTAAATGACCACAGACTGCACACAGAATTTATTTCCAGTCGCATGGCCAATTGCAGTCTGTCCCAAGGCATCCTTAACTTCTCTCCCACCCTCTCAAGGTGGGCGCAGATCCCAGCCTCCCAGGCATTGCAGGAATATGCTCAGTTTCATTACACCTACGGTAGGGATATCCTTCCAAACAAGCCTTTCACCAGGGAATAGCCCTGCCATTCTGCTTCAGGTGGGGCTTGTCAGTCATTGTGAAGCTGTAAATCAGTGCGATGGACAAATTCCGCTCTTATACCTCTCCTCTTCGCCACATTGATGCCTTCCCCAAACCCAGTCGTGCCTTACTTGAGAGTAAATGATTCAGAGTGGCCTCTGAGGGATTGGGGGCGTGCCCAGCGTGGTGGTGGTGGCATTGGCGGGTCGGGGAGAATGATCTGAAATCCACCCAATGGTTATTATAGACCTTTCCACTCTGCTGGCCCCGTGTTGATACTTCGAAAGATCTACCTTGCGAGAACAGAAATGAAAAGAAACGAACCAACCATCCATCCATCCATGGTGTGACATTGGCATATGATTGTGGACTAGTTGTGGTTTTGGTTAGTTACAATGGATGATTCCCTCTTTGTTAACCTGTTAAAAAAGAGAAGAGAGCTAGTGCATGACACGTTAGAAATTATCAAATATCATGTTCTTCATGTCTTTTTCTTTTCCCTTTTTGGGTTATGAATGAAAGCTGCAAGTCTGTGCAAGATGCATTGGAATTTGTAAGCAAAATTTTGAAGAGATCTGAAGTTTATGAACAAAACAGGAATTTAACAATGACGCTACATCCAAAACAATTTCGACAATGGTTGATATCCCAACGCATAAACCATTGATACCATAGCGTAATCCCAATCAAGCAGTAGCAGCAGCAATAGGAGTGAGAATAGCATGTCTAACAGGGGGGGAGGGGAGCAGGACTAAGAGGGATGGGGCAGCAAAGAAGAAAGATCCAAAGGTAGCAGTGCAAAGAGAACAGACAAACGGACAATCAGGACATGAAATGCAATTACTCAAAATGCAAAGACAAGAACAAACTTTAACTTAAGAGTTAAACCCACGGCCAATAAATGCACAGCAAAACCGTTAACCAGACCCACCCTGTTTCCCTTCACCCACTCAGTGAGTAAGTAGCAGAAGTTACGGCCCTACAGGCTTAAGTAGCCACCCCTTCTCTCTAACAACTGAGGCCAGTTTGGCACCGCTAGCCACACAGTCCGGGAGGGAAACCACCGTTATCAAGGTGGTCCCGCAGATTTCAGAGTTTCTGGACCCTCGACGTGTCGTGGCCCTTACAGGCCCCGTACATCAGTCACGGGGTCCCCAGTGCTCCACCACATTCCAAATCTGTCCTGTGACCCTCTTACATTGTCCTTTTCTGAAATGTGAGAAATGAGAGTACAGGAAACGAAGAACCAAAGTCAGCAGATAGTACAAAGAACCCTGACTCCATAGGTCATCATCTAGTACCCAATCAGTCTCGACATCCACAGCAATATCATCATGCATATGGCATGGGTGACTGCCATCCGTCTAGTACCCCACCTCTACAACAACCTGGGCTTTTTAAAAATAAAAAACGGAAAAAAAAAGAATAAAAACGGGAGTGTCGGGCTTCACAGAGAGAATACGTTCACATTATCACATCTCCCCAGGGCCTGCCTCTGTAAATCACATCATCGAGACTGTCAAGCAACGGATGCATGAATGCTCGCACAACTGCAGCTACAGCAGCATTGTACAAACCCCGCTGTGTGGTCGGGGCCATCAGCACTGACGGACTGAGTACTTCCACACCTGAGTCTCTCAAACTGTGTTCCAAACTGTGGCACAAATGTTGTACGGGGACGCTGGACCCGATTTCCAGCAGGTGCAGGCCCCCCACCAATGGATCGGGGCCTCCAATGACACTACTACCGTAGGTGGGGCTGCTTATATCACCCCCCCCCTAAGAAGTAGAGGTCACCGGTGTTTTTTCTCCGAAAAGAAAAAGAGATGTGATTGTCAAAGGTTTCACATGAGCCTGAACTGGTCACATTCATTGAGCCACGCGTATGTTCTAGAGACCAAATCAGATTCGCCCTGTGTGTATCTGGCCGCGAATAGATAGTCCTTGTTTCTGAGCATGCCCTTCAAGCGGTCGCCATTTTGTTACGCGATCCCAACTCTGGCGCCTCGTACGGCGATACACGTGTCAAGGCCCGGCCATCCTCAGTACCTTGTTCTGTACGCCCGCTCTCTTGAACTCTCCATTGAGAGTTCAGCCTGCTCATCAGGACTCCTCACTGTGTCTTCAGCCTGCCTGCGTGGACTGTTCATGCACATCTGATTGCTTTCTCCATGTTCGTCCACGGAAAGGAACCGTCGAGCGCATCTGCGCCGTCGATAAGGCAGCAGCACGAGCCATTGCCATTTATTGAGGCGCCCCCCGCCGGGATCGCGGTCGTCGTTGATGCCGCTTCCTGGCAGTGGGGAGCAACCACTCGATGCGGACGGACGGGAGAAGGAGGGACACGTTGCCAGTGGGCCGCGCGCCGAGCTCGTGAGGAACGATCCTGACCGTCCAGTTCACCTTTCCACCGCGGTCAAGGTCGCCGCCCAGCACGTCCTTGATCGGGAACTTGATGGTCCGCGTCAAACCAGAGTGCGATCCCGACGCCGGGAAGCTGTAGAACGACGACACGTAATGCAGCCTCGCGGTTGTTTTGTCACTGTCCCGATCTGTGCCCAAGAGGTACACGTCAAAGCAGAAGGGCGACCGACAGGAGAGGTGAAACGACTCCAGGATAGCGACCGGTATCCCRACCGYTGCSACTSGCGCAGAGCTCRCTYTGCSAGTGCGCGCCACWAGCGGGCAGTCGACGGGATCACCCCTCGTGCGGGCAGGAGCCACAGAGCGCAGGACCATCGGCCACATGGAGGCTTGAGAGGAGTTCCCCCGGGGAGAGGACTTCCTCTTTCTCCCAGTGGGCAACCAGTCGTTCTCCACGTCCTCGTACTCGTACCGCAGGTTCCGCTTCGTGTCCAGCACGTCTTTGACCGAGATCGATGTGAGGACGGTGTTCTCGTCGTAGAACACAAATCTTGAGTCCCGCCATGCAGTGTCGGGAGGATTGGATCTCCTGGCAGTCGTCGCCGTGGGTAGACGTGACCACACCCACCATAGCCTGTCGACATTGGCATGATGGGCGAAGAAGACGGGGTCGCCCGAGGCCCAGCTGAGGTTGCCCATGTTGTGGAACGGCGGAGTCTGTTTCCCCACTGCCGTGTGGATCGCATTATGACTGCCGGTCTCGATCAGTCCGCCCTGGGCRCTGCCCAAGGGTCTGCCTAAAAATAGCTCGTGCGTTTCGGCCTCGGCAATCGTTGACCTAAGCATCTCCCTGGTCGTCGCATTGCGCACCAGCGCTCGCAATCTGCGAGCGTCATGGTTTCTGTTGAGATCGAACAGCGGCGAGGACCGGGGCCGGAAGAGGAAGGGAAACTCTCTTCCCGACAGGCTGTCCCAGTTCCAGAAGAGGAGGCGGAAGTGAGGATCGCCCACCATAGCCGCGAGGATGCGCTCGTGGAAGTAGAGGTACATCCTGTGCCACGGCAAGAAGAACCAATTGCCGTGCACCTCATACTCGGGGCCGTACGCCAGGCCGCTGGAGCAATACACGCAGTGCACCAGTCGCTGCTGTTCCATGCCACGTGGGTCCTCCGGATTGCTATGCTGAAGATCCCTCATCTTTCGATACGCCATCTTCAGCTTCCTCAGGTACGCAGGGCTCTGCAGCGCCGTCTTCGCAGATCGACGCCGCCGCACGGGAATGGATGWGTTGCGCTTGAACTCTAMAGGTWCCGCYCCCTTCTTGGGCACTTGAAGACAGCACGGACTCTGYTCGCCGCATYKCCTCAGGTYGGGACCCGGAAGGGGGACCTGCTGGCTCAGCACGTGAAGGTGCACGCTGTGGAGAGGAAGAAGAACATTCACAGCAATCCCCCAAACCAGCAGCGCGAAGATCGTGATCGACAACTTGAACACGCTGTCCACCGCCATATTCTACCTTAACCCTCACAACAACGCTCAGGTAAGTTCCGCGACGAGATCTGCGAATCCTTGGGGCCAGGAGCTGTTAAATTAGAGTTACTACGGTCGTGCCCTCTTTTTTGCACCTTACATGTAGTGGCTCCCTCTTTTTCGGATCCGTCAACGCTTCCGAAGAGATCACGGAGTGCAGAAGCGGCACGGTTTGCGGGGACGGCCTTTCGTCGATCCTACCTGTCACTACGCACACCGCCGGATAAAGCGGGAAAGCCACGACTGTGAGGGAGATCGACTCCTTGAAGATAATCTATCGATCCTACAGCTTCAGAATCGCGAGGCACCCGCGTCTACTCTGCAGATGACCGATTTCTGATAAGTACGCGGCGGTTATCTCCACCGCACAGCTGACTCCAGTATATTCGTTGAACTCACAACGCGCATTGATATACTCCACAGACACATTGATCTACTCCAGCAGCAGTTAAGTCATCATCCCCACCACACATTAATCTACATGTAGATATCTCCACGATCTGTGCCGACCACCTCCACTCTCCACTTGCTCAACTCTCTCTGTACACGGTCACGTTCATCTGCACTCGCGGGCTGTTTGCGTCCGTTGATGCATTAGCTACACTTTACCATGCACGGCCACGATCTCCCCGTCGACTCTCTTCTAACCTTCACATTATTCACCCGCGCTCTTCGGCTGTGCCTTGCCCAAATAGCTTGTTCATTGCTCAATGCTTGGGGCTGCCTGCCGCTGCGTGGCGCAGGATGAGAGGCGATGACTGTGGACTGTGACATCAAGCAGTTCTCAGAAGTTCGGCGGCTGTAGCACGAGCGGAGCCAGCGGGATTAACCACGATGTACCGCGCAACACAACACCGGCCCACCATCTTGCGCTCAGAGATAGAGTAGTGATGGATATTACCGCTCTGCTCCGCGATACAACTTGATCGGCTAGCTTTTTCCTGCCTACTTAATAGCTTTCATTATATCGCAGACGCGGGCATTTTCATGTTTTTCCGACCACAAACCCAGCGTCAATCTCTGTTTGGTATTCCAGAAGAAAGGGAAACGAGAGAGGCGAGCGTCTTCCCCGAATAGAACATTCCGTCGCTATAACTGTATTTGAGACAACTTTGAGTCTAGATACAGGGATAATGACCCTGCCCTCTAGGAAGCGTACAGCTGTATTTGGGGGAACTTTCAGTCTACATACAGGGATACTAACCGTAATCTGTATTCGGACGGGGGAAGAAGGTAGCAGAGAGGGGGAATGTTCATCATGCTTTGCAGGCACGAACCTGACAGCTATTACGCCCAGGTTCGTGCTTTCCGAGCACGAAGAGAGCATAGGTGGCGCCTCTGTGGTGGAGGGAGTCGACACTAAGGCATACTCACACTAGCACTTTCCAAAATGCATCTGGCCACAATCACAGCCAGATGAGAACCTATCTGACCGCGAGCACGTCCCGAGCTTTGTTAGAAAGGTCCTCGTGTGAGTATGGCCTACGTATGTCCTGAAGGACTTGCATCAGTGTGCACCATCCTTCAACCCCGATCATAACGCGTACTCGTACTCGGTATGAATGCAGCAGTGGCGGAGCTGCATTTCAGTCAAGTGAAATGAAACGAAATTGACCCTTGTGATAAGCTGCACCGGTTGACGATTCGGGATAATTTATAATTTATAATTTATCATCATCATGATTGCATTTAAATTTTAAGTTTCAACCCGCAGTACTTTTTTTACCTCTTTTTGTGCAGTCAAACCAGCACTGTTCAGTGTTCAATCGAAACGATACACAGACGATGATTAGCATGACCCCTCGCACGTAGAGGCTGTAGAGCATACCGACCGAAGTTCCTGCAAAAGACACAAAACGAAAAAGGGAAGGCACGGTACACATAAATTCACAACCGTCGACGAAAACGTTTCTCCAGAAACAGACCCACTGATTGGTTTCAACTCCCACGGCACTAGTTTCATCTTTTGCAGAACCACGGTGGCAACCGTACGGGAGTTGTCTTTTCAACTTCGGTTATCAAAAGCACAGTTGATTCTTTTTTCTTTTTTTT